GAGTGCAGCGTTGACCCAGTGGTTCCGAGGTCTGCATCTAGCACACTTTCCGGCTAAAGCTGATGACACTGTCCATACTCCACTCTTCAGGAGGTCAAGAGGGAAAGGCTGTGTGGCACAGGGTGCCTGTGACTGCAGGGAGGGGGCAGCCTGGGAGGACTGGAAAGGACCCCACGAAGCTGATCTGTGGGTCCCATACTGATGGCAGCCAGGGAGCTGTGGGCAGGATGTAGGGGCTGAGAGGGATCAAATCTAAGCCCTTGTCACTCTGAGAAGTGCAGGTGTGAGCGTGACTGCTCTGCGGTCAGACCTCTCCCTCTCCCCAGATGATGGTCCCTTGGGGAAGAAGTGACCCTGCCCAGGGGCCAGAGTCCCTTTGGAGGTATTGTCTCAGCTACCTGGCAGCTGCTACCATAGATCGATAGAATAAACACTTTCAGCAACCAGCCCAAGGATATTTGAGTTAGTAAATCATTTTTACAAATGATACAGCAAACAAAGATGAATCATGGAAATGAAGTACTGCGTTTGGTGAAAATATTTCACACACGCGACCTATAAATTCATTGAATTTCAATGAAATGTTGATTAAAACTAGGTTTAGCTTAGAGCTTGACCAAGTTTTGTATAAGCTATCCAGGGTTTGAGCAGATATGTGGAAACACGTCTTACTTGGGGCGTATAGATTGCTACAGTGCATTCAAAGCCTCAAGATTTAGATACTGCAAAGAATGTGTTCCGTAACTGGCAGGAATGATTTTTGTTGGCTTAACTATTTGTGGTTCCACCTCTTTTTTTGTTCCATGATAAATGCATACTATATATTATTTAAAATATAAATGTCCTGATCTTCCCATTTCCAGTTGCACACCTGTGGGCCATTCTGAGTGTAATTATAGGAACAGCACGTGCTAGATAGTGTTTCCTGCTTTCATGCAGAGGCTGTTCATTATTTTAAAAGCATGCATATTTCGGATATTCTACAACCTACACGCTTGCCCACCAAGAAGAGGATGACCCCACTATCTTACCTATTTTGGGGCTGATACTAGGGAGATAGTTGTCATACCCATGCACACTGCTCCTAACACACACACACACACACACACACACACACACACACTGTTTAATGGTGAGATAGGTTTTGATAAATGTGACCTTAAACTGTTGTCATTGTGACAGCTTCACAGAGTGGAGTGACTCAAAGATGACTGTGGTGTCCTTAGGTATAGGCTTCTGTAAGACCATCAAATATATTCAGTACCTATGTGATGAAGATGTTATCATGTTGTACGTGTTCTATCATATATGATACATAATATAAAATACATTTAAGTATATTAAATAACTACTGAATTTAATGCAATACAAATTGTTACATTAATATATTAGATCTGTTAAGCAAATAAAACATTGGCTAAATATAAATATATAATATTCATATCCATGAGTGTATGTAGAATCTTACTGTATTTATGTATTTGGTACAGGGTCTCACTATGCAGCTCAGACTCGTAGTGATCCTCCTGTTTTCAGCCTACTTAGCGCCGGGATTACAGGTGTGCACCACCACCGCCTCATCTTGTAGCTGGCTCAGTGCGCCCAGGGGCGGGGCTGGCACAGCATGTGGTGCAGGGGCTGAAGCCCGGTCCCTGTGCTTGCCTAAGTGAGCTCTTAGTCAACTGAGCTACCTCTCCAGCCCTTACTGAGTGTTCAGATATCGTCACACATGTGTATCTCCATAGTTGGCACAGCATTCGTGAGTGGGAAAGTCATCTGAGCATGCCTCTCTATCTGTTTTCACCTTGGCAGTGGGCTCCCTCTCTGGGCATGTGTCTCCCTGCTCAGTTTCTTTTCTTTTTTTCTTTTTCTTTTTTTTTTTTTTTTTTTTTGAGGAACTGGGGATAGAACTCAGGCCCTTGTGCTTACCAGGAAAGCGCTTATTCTACTGAGCCATCTCCCTGGCCCCCCTGTTCAGGTTCTGAATCAGCAGCTATGTGGCAACAGTGAGCCCTGGGATTATCTCCACTGTAGATGCAGGCGTGCTGGGAGTCCCTGAGGAAGCCTGCCCTAATTTGATTACTACTTGTTTTGCAGCCAACAGCCACTGTACGGTACTCGCCTTGCCAATTGCAGCTCCTGGCGCCTGACTCCTAAGACTTCTGGCGAGTGCTTTCATTAGCTATGATAGCATTTCATGCCACGAGGAGTGCGTGTATTCCACGAGTCCCTTTACCAAGAGTCATTTGCAGCAGTCCAGGTCCTGGTCACATGTAGTGATGTTTTCATCTTCAGGGTGCAAGGAGAGCTTGTTGGCAGGATGCTCCCAGTCATGGTCTTGAGTGTACTTTGTTCCTGAGTGAGGATGTATGAACATGTCCAACCTGTATGTCTCGGGGGGTGGGGGGCAGATGATGGCCTCCAGAGTCCTAGGAGCCAAGCCTGTTACCGGACAGCTGGGGAAACTGAGGCCCAAGGGAGAGTCCTGCAGAGCACTTGTTAAGTAGAACTAGAACTGGAAGCCAGATCTCCTGCCTCTTCTGTCCCCTTCAATTCCATCCCAGCAGCCCCCAGAAAAGAGCTTTTGAGTGTTGGCTTGAATTCCACTGTTGGTTTTAGTTGTTCTTGGGTTTTTTTTTTTTTTTTTTCTTTCAAGTCATTTCCAAGATGTATTCAGTGGAAAAATAAAAGGAAAGGTGATGAGTGTTAAGGACAGATTTACAACAATTAATTTTTATGGAGCTGGGGAGATAGCTCAGTAGAATAAGCGCTTGCCTGGAAAGCACAAGGGTCTGAGTTTAACCCCTGCTTCTGCCAAAAAACAAAAACAAAACCAACCAGAAACAATTAATTTTTATTTTGTTCGCAGTACTGGAGATTGAACCCAAGGCCTCATGCTTGCTTGGCAAGCACTCTACCACTGAGCCACGGCCTCGGCCAGCTTCGTGTTTTATTTTGAGACAGTCTCTCACTTAGCTGAGCAGGCTGGCCTTGACCTTGTAACCTTCCTGCCTTGGCCTCTTTAGTAGCTGGGGTTACAGATGTGTGTCACAGATGCACAACCGGCAATTTATTTTAAAGATCTTAATTGGCTTTATTTTCTGCTATGCCATTGGCCAAAACTGTACTCCATAAAGTAGTGTTAGCCAGCTAGGAGTGATGGCTATAATTCTAGCACTGGGGAGGCTGAGGCAGGAGGATCACAAATTTGAGACCAGCCTTGGTTACATACTGAGTTAAAGGCCAGCCTGGGTTACAGATGGAGACCTCAAAACAACAAAGGAGTAAATATCCCAGCAGAAGAGACTGTCTGTATAGAAAAGCGTTAACACAATCAAAAACAATGAACAGAAAGAAACAATGGTTTCATCATTTCAAAGTTTCTATCCTTGCAGGGACTGGGACACAGAACAATAGAAAATAATTGATGTTACCCTTTTTGGGAAAAGGTTTTAAGGCAGAGGAACCTCCTTGTGCCCATTGAAGCTGGCCCGGCGGAAGTGTGGCTGTTAGCTTTCTGTCCTGATTTCCTGGAAAGTCGGAGCTACCTATATATAGGCCCCTATAACCTGGACCTTTCCCAGGGGTGATTCCGTGCTAATTTTTAGCCTGTTTGTTAGAACCCAGTGCAGGTCCCAAACAGCGGACCCCTGTCATCTGCCCTTAACAGCTGACCCCGTCATCTGCCCTTAACAGCGGAAGGTGCCTTCTAATTAAATGCAGTGTTTAAATTTCTAAGTTATTCCCTAAGCCCCACTACCATCCGAGGCTGTGCTAGAGCACACAGCAGTGCGCACACTTTTTCTCTTCACTTCTCCTTTCCTCTTCCCAGAATTGCAATGGAGACCTACATCCGGCAGAGACAGCTCCTCATGGCGCCCCTGATAACATCGAATGTGATTGGAGAAAATGAGCCACTCACGTCAGTCTTGAATAAAGTGATAGCAACAAAGGAAGTGAATCACAAAGGACAAGGTACAGAGCCTGTGGCCGGGAGGGGCCTGGCAAGGTGGGAGGGGACACACAGCCCCGACCTCGACTCCTGCCCTTTCCCTGTCCCTCCCTGATACAAAACGCCTGTGCTGGGGACCACCCACCTGCGATGCAGAGCACACCCAGCAGGAAAGGGATGGGTCGCACCTGGCTTGGGAATGCTCTGGCAGCTTCCTCTCTTCAGTCTTCTCCTAGCCTGCACTCCGGGTGTTGGCTCTAAGTGAATGCACAAAGGGAAAAGAGATGCAGGAATAATTATGTTCTGCTCGCTGAATAAATTCATTCTGTGACATTTCTTAAAACTGGGAAGGAGAGCAAAGCCCGTCAGTGAACACGCGTCAGCATGAGAACGGGCGCCTCACGAAGCCAGCTCCTCTGGAGCCACCCGGACTGCTCTGTTGGCAGAGATTTCCCGAGAAGTTCTGCCTTTAGAAACTCGTGTTAAACACGAGTGATGAAGAAAGCAGTCGAAATGTTAAAATTCAAATACCAAGATAGCAACCATATTTGGCTGAATTGGAAGATTAATGCACTGTTTTGTGTTCACTACTCTGTAAATTTTCTGAAAAGTTAGCACACAGATAATACATTATTTTCAGTACATGTAGGTTCTCGTGTGTGTGCAGATATCCTGAGTGGGAAGGACAGCGGGGTGACAGATAACCTGTAAATAAATAGCCAAGCAGAGCTGGCTTCTTGGAGGTCTTACGAATATACTTGTAGAGTAGATAGTGCTTGTACTTGTACTAAATAGGTGGCTGTGGCTGTATGATTGTGTGTGTGTGTGTGTGTGTGTGTGTGTGTGTCTGTCTGTCTGTCTCTGTCTGTCTGTCTGTCTGTCTTTCTTTCTTTCTTTCTTTCTGTGTGTCTGTCTGTCTGTCTGTCTGTCTGTCTGTCTGTCTGTTCCAGGCATAGTAGTGCATTCCTGAGATCTCAGCACTTTGAGAGACTGAGACCGTGAGTTCAAGGCCAACTTGGACTACATAGCAAGGCCATGTTTCAAAATTTAAAAAAAAAAATTTCTTTTTGCTACAGAGCAACAAAACAAGTACTTTTCAAATGTTTTTTCTGTTCTTAGTAATTTTTGCAGCTCCATTAATACTATATTGATTTAATTTATCAAAAAAAGAAAGCTATTTTGTTTCTTACTGTTTTTTACTTCATTTTCTCTTATAGAATCAGGCACATTTTCATTACATAAAATAGAAGAAGTGAGGGCCGGCCAGATAGCTCAGTGGACTAAAGCGCCTGCTTAGGCGGAGTGCCGTGACTGGGATTTGATCCCTGTTGTGCCCTGCCGGCCCCGTCTCCAGGGCATATTGAGACTGCGATTGAGAGTGGGCATGGTGGCGTGCGCCTGTAATCCTGGCTCTTGGGAGGCTGAAAACAGGAGAATCACTACAAGTCCGATCTGTGTAGTGAGACCCTGTATAATAAATGAGAGAGACAGACAGACAGACAGACTCAGACAGAGACAGAGACAGACAGAAAGGGAGGGAGGGAGGGAGGGAGGGAGAGAAGAAGGAGGGAAGGGAGGGAGGGAGGAAGGAAGGAAGGAAGTTAGTTAGTTGGGCTGAATGGGAAAGGTTGATTTTATAAGCTGAGAAAGGATGGAAAAAAGAGAAATGAACAAAAACCTGGCCGGTCCTTTCAGAGTTCCTTTTCCTGCAAGGTGAGCACAGACTCAGCGCAGGAGGAAAGTACCCACTGGTTGGCAGCAGGCTGCTTGTTTCGCAAGGATAAAAACGGGAAGCTTTGTTATCATAGCAGTTAGCACTGGCCAGCTGAGTGAGGTTAGCTGTTACGTCTCTATCCTGTATTTCTCTGAAAATCAGATAGCACATTCTTTTTTTTTTTTTTTTTTTTTGATGACATAAAACTTTAATGTGGTGGACTTCGCTTTCAATTTTAGCCTGTTTTTTTTGGGACCCAGTCTAGGAGCTTAGTCTAAAACAGTGGCCTCCTGTCATTTTTACTTAACAGATTTAAGAAAATTCAGTCCACTAGGTAGACGTGCAAGAGCTCTCTAATTTGTCGCCACTGTACATTTAAATGATGCCATCATGGCTGTCATTCTAGTGAAACTTTTCCCGTGTTTGGGGATTAACTCCTTAAGAAAATTCTGGAAATGGGATTTCTGCGTCACACGGCAGAAAGAAACTAACACCCAAGACATCCATGTTGCCTAACTAGGTGTCTCCTGTGGGGGCCGGCGCCAGGCTGGAGCGATCCTTCTTGCGTTCTTCCCTGCTTTGTGAGCTCATGTGTAAAAATCTGTACTAAAGTGAAAAGAAGACTTCATGGTGCTCTTGTAGTTTGAAAATGAATTACTCAGCCTTCATCCGTGCTTATGAGTTTACACACACACACACACACACACGCACACACACATGAATTTCCCATTTCAGATTTTATGTGAAGATAATAATCTTTTATATCACAAAGAGAATAATCTTCTATCTTATTTAGGGTAGATTTTTTTCTAGCTTTTGTTTTGCTACATAATTATAAACTTTTTCTATTTCCCTGTGGATTTTCTTTATGCTGTTTATTTGTAAGAACTTTTGATTCCTAGGCATTGGTAATTTCTTATGGATATCTTGTTTTATGCTTATTCTTTTTACATTTTTATATGTATCCAAACTTTAGTTTGCATATGGATAATTCTTTTGCTTTTATTTTATCTCTACTTTAAAATATGGTTCCTTTTGAATTAATAATTCTACTATTTCTTGTCTTTTTTGTTATTCGGTAGAAATTTATTTTAATAACCATTGGAAGTGAGAAGTTTGTTTTACTCTACCTTAAAACAGTAGGCAAATTGCACCAGTATATTAATGAAATTCCATGCTTTCTTTTTCATAACTTGCTTAGACTCTTTTTCTTAGAGAATTTAATCTTACTCCATGTAGTGACTTGGGTATCTTTCCTACCACTCGTTCCACTGCATGTTTTGGGATCTACTAGGGTCGCCTCCCCTCTCACACACACATCCAAAGGGAGAACCTTTTCACTTCTCTATCAACTTTTGAAGTCCTGTTATGAATCTGGTGATCGTATCGTTAAAATTGTAAGTTAACTGGGGGAGAATTTATGTGTCTGTATTTAGAAGTACCGGGCATTGAACCCAGGGCCCTGACACTGAGCTACATTCCCTGACCTTCTTACCTTTTTTGTTTGTTTGTTTGTTTTAGGAAGCGTCTCCATAAATCACCAAGTCACCCAGGCTGTGGTGACTTGTGATCCTCCTGCCTCAGCCTCTCAGACTGCTGGCATGACAAGGATGCACCACCTATCTTTACCATAAGGAACCTGGTTTTTATTAGACAACTCACTTTTCTTGATGTCTGTAGCAGAGGGCGGTAAGGTCACACAGACACCAAAGTTTATCTTTTTTTCCTTAAAGGGCTTTGGGTGTCCTTGAAGCTACTGCCTGGTGACCTCACGCAAGTTCAGAAGAATTTTTCGCACTTGATTGACAGATCAACAGCAATAGCTCGAAAAATGGGCTTTCCTGAAATCATACTGCCAGGTAAACCCTTCGCCTGACTCCTACTTGCTGTTCTTCTTCCATGCAAGAGTTCCCAGTAAGACAGGTGGGGCCACTTGCATCTATAGGAAGAAGTTATTTACATTCCGTGGCACCAAGACAGCGGCAGACACAGAAAGGCAGAGCTACCCAGTGGCAAAGCCAAAGAAACCTGTGAAATGTGACTCAGCGTTGCGTACTTCGTTCTCTCCCAGTCATTCGCAAATCCTTCCCTAGACACCTCTCACTGGGGGCATCTCGTCACTTGGGGTTCCTAGTGCAGGCGTCTTTCCTCACTGGGGTGTCACCAGCCTTGGAGACCCCCCAAGCCCTGCTGTGTCTCAGAGTATCCCCTACTCCACACCTGTGAGCTCCTTGGGTGCCGTGGCATTGTTTGTTCTTTAATAATAGTATAGACATTCTGCAGTTTTGCTTTAATTTTTATCTTTTTGCCACCTTTTCCCTTTTTGGTGATCTGTATATATGTTCTCTTGACTGACTTTCACCACTTAATTCCTTAATCTATGCTGTGGGCTTAAATGTCAGTATTGCTATTACTAGAAAATTAGTAAGACTTCTAGAAAGCCAGTCGTATCATGTGAGAGAAATTCTAGAAAACCAGCTTGTTATCTGCTGCATAAACAGTTCAGTTCTTTTAGCGTAGCACAAGAGCGTACTCCTCCTGTGGGAGATGAATGGGTGGAAATGACTGCGGCGGCATCTGCTATCTACCTGTGATGGTTGCTAAATGACTACTGGTGGCATGAACGAGTGGAAGTTACGGAAAGGGGATTCTCTACCCTCCTCCCCAGAGAAGGCCGCGCTTTGTGCACGTAGTTCATGCATTCCAGAGCGAGCTCAATCTGCTACATGTTCATCGATGTTCTGGAGAAATGTTTTGGGTTCTTGTTAAAAACAAATGTGGGTCACAGGCCCTAATAAAGGCCTCTTTACTGCTAGGCAATACACATCTGAAAAAGTAGAATAGTTTGTCACTTCAACAAGGTGAGTTTATTTTTAATCGGGCATGAAAAAGAGAATATGAAAATGTTTTTATTAATAGGGTTGGTTCACCAGACAACAGTGGCCATTAAACTTCGTCTAGGATGGTACTTGGCAATGCTGGTCTCCTGTGTCAGGGACTTAGGTCACTTGGGAAACTTGATGACACAGGCAGGCAGATTCCTCTAGAGGCCAAATCGGGTACCCAAGAGTAGATGAAGCTCCCCGAGCCTGGGTGCCTTCCTCATGTCCCCATTTGCAGAGGCTCAGTCACTTTTCAGCTGTTCTGTCCCTCCTCCCCAGCAGCTCAGGTGCTCTTGTCCTGTACCCCCATCTCTCAGGCAGGGCCTTGGACCTGATGGTCACTGCTCTGTTTGGTCTTGCCCCCTCCTGTTCCCTCCAGCCTTTCCAGAGGGCCTTCCCTAGGGTCACCCACAATTTCAGTGTCACTAAGTCTAATAGGGGTCTTTGAGCCTCCTGACGCACTCTGGCCTCTCAGCAGCATTTGGCACGATGAGTGCCTCCTTCCTCAAAGCGCCCTGTGGTCGTGGCCCTGTGCTCATCTTTCTTCCTCCCCTGGGGGCCCCTGCTAGGAATCCTTGGCTGCCCGTTTCATCCTCTGCATTGCTTGCTCAGTGCCTGGTCCTTGGGCCTGTGGGAGTGTACTAGGGCCTCCATGAGAGAATACCTCAGACTAGAAGGTATCCAAAACCAGGAACTCTTTCTCTCAGTTCTGGGGACTGGAAGTACAAGATGAGGTGTCTGGATGGTTGGTTTCCCATGAGGGTTTTCTTCTTGACTTTGGGCAGCCATCTTCTTGCAGTCCTGACAGCAGCTTCCCTCTGTTCCCATCCGTGTCCTCCATCTGTCCACTGCCTTCACACCCTCCCTTCACCACTGAGACCCCTTTGCAGCTGTGGCGGTGTAGCCAACTACTCCTGGGCTTAGCGCTTGAGTAGAGACTGTGCCCTCCCCTCCCTTTGTCCTTCTCCTCCCTACTTTAATTGGTTCATTTTTTTTTTTTTTGTCAGCCTCTTCTTGTATTCCTCATTCTTCTATGCTTCTAGAGCCGGTGCTCCTTTGCTTTATTTTCTCCAAGGGGAAGACACTGCCTTGCACCTATCTGCATAGACAACCAGCTGAACGCCACCATGGGCATCTCGTGTTCCTTCCCTCACACCGTGAGGCCTGGCCAGTTTTGCCTCTGAAGCACCTCTTCAGCCATCAGTCCTCTCTGTCTCCGTGGTCGCCGTGCACACAGACACCCTCGTGTCTTTCTGGGAATGCAGCTGTGATGCTGTGTCTTGTGTTCCTGTGCCCCAGAGTTGGCTGGGGCATGGGTCACGCTCATCTTCCCAGCGCCTAGTGCAGGTCTTGGTACACTTGGGGCTCCACTAGTACTTTTGAGTGACTGTTAACTGCATCCTCTGGTTAGACTGCAGTGTGTTCATCCAGATTCTCTCTTATGCACTCAAGCACTATCTAACAGCAGCTTTACGGTGTGGTGCAAGTATCAGAATACGCTTATGTATCCAAACTGAGACAATGGGAGCATCACGAGGCCACCTGCCTTGTGGGACCGCCATTCTGTGTGTAGGCCACTGTTGAGTGAAACATTTGTGCCTGTTCTTGGGGGTACACTACCACTGGAATTGCTGTGTGTCACTGAAGGCTTTTGACACAAACTATCAACTTCTCCACTGACAGTATGTCCATGCAGATTTCAGGCTAGACTGGATGAACACAACTTCTTTTCTTCCTCCATCAAAAACTGTAGGCAGGATTTTTTTTTTCCTAATGGGAGAAGTGATCCGAATGACAGATGCTCAAATTCTGCAGCCCTGTTTGCTCACAGTGCTGTGGTGTCTTATTTTTCACAGGAAAGGATAGTTTATATGATGTGATTGCTGTTATTTTTTAATATTGAGTCTTCTCAGCTCTGAGTCATGATACGCTTTTTGCGTATTCCACAGTCTGTTGTGTATACCATACACTTAAACTTATCTTCACTATGAGCGTTATACATTTATGAATTAATTTTAATGCATTTTTGCATTAAATTGTTAACAAAAACAAAATACTCCAGCATTGGTTTTTAAAAAACTAATTTAAGTAAAAGGTACACTGTGGCCCTTCAGAAATAGTGTCTATCTCATCGGATTGTTCTTTAGTTTAATACATTAGCCCATAATCTATTCAATTAATACACATAACACACTGGCACATCGCATTCAATTGAACAAATTGTCTTTATTATTAGCAGATGTATTTTCAGGGCACTATTGGAAAACAATTATTAGACAGTAATTAATCATTTACTTAGTAGTAAAGACTTACTACTGAGAAGGATTTTTTACAAACGCTACATTTCAAAGGCCTGGAGTAGGCGGGGAAAAGAAGCTAAAGAGACACACGTGGGGAGGACTTTTGTCGAATGATGAGATGATCGTAATTTACCTTTTATATCTTATTTACATCCCGAAAGTCTAAAGCAGCTTTTCTCGGCAGCACTCACATGTGAACTGTCACATTGCAGGGGACGTTCGGAATGACATTTATGTCACCCTGATCCATGGCGAGTTTGACAAAGGGAAGAAGAAGACTCCCAAGAATGTGGAGGTCACCATGTCTGTGTTTGATGAGGACGGCAACCTCTTGGAGGTACGTGGTGCTTCCTGGGACCCTGCTGCCCTCACATGCTGCTTTATAGTATGATGGACTCTGCTCTTATTAATCATTTTCCATGGTAGGATCACTGTGCTTGTTCAGGAAAACAGAAAACGCATGAAATTTGTGATTATGGAGGACCAGGATTACTACTGAGGCCATGTAGGGTCTTTTCCTGGACTAAGAAGTAGCTCCAGCCACAGGGGACCAGGGAGAAGGCTTGGAAGCGCAGGTTCTTGGCATTTTTAGTGACTCTCAAGCTTTGTCATTTTTCCTGGTCTCGAGCAGGGTGGTATGAATGCTGTACCACCTTGAAAGGTACCTTGTTTTCAGGTGGGCAAGTGGAGCCCAGGGATGCCTGCCCGCTGGGGAGCCTGCGGAGCCCCAAGGGCCCCGAGGCAGAGGTCAGCCCGCCCCTGCTCTCTGCTTAATCATCAGGAGTCTGCAGTCCCACACAGAGAACTTCCTCAGTTAGAGGCAGAGCCGCTCTGGGTCCAGCCATCCTGACTTCTAGCCCAGAGCTTCTCCAACTCTGGCAGCTTTCTCTGCCTCTCTGACCTCATGTGGGCCGGACTGGGGGGCCTCGATTCCACCATTAAAGTGTAGGAGAGGTAGGGCAGTCCTTCAGGCCGTCACCACCTCCAGCGAGCCCTGTGTCCTTAGGGATGAGCTGTAGCTACTGCCCTGGAATCCCAGGGTCAGGCTCCTGGCGCACAGCACTCACTGAGTGTCCTTCTTCGAAGGACTTTGAGGGCACAAAGAACTACAGCCCTCCCCTTCGCAACAGGTGTTTCCGTCTTTGAAGGAAACAGATGCCCAGTTTAGGAAGCCAGGCCGTGCTCCGTACTAGAGGGAAGAACAGTGCTCCGGGCCACAGACAGAGCCTTTGAACCTCTGAGCCCGTGCAGGAGCCCGTCCTGGTTGCTCGTTTCCTGGCCTTGCTAACCAGCTAAGAAGCACCTCCATCGAGTCCCTGTTCTGACCTGGGCCATGCACTGCTCTTCTAGGGGAAGTCAGAGCACCGAGTCTGAGCGTAGGGATCCACCGCACCAAGTCCCGGAGGCAGCGCACAGCCATGCGCGGTGCTGCCAGCCTGCAATCCCAGCAATCTGGGAGGTTGAGGCAGGAGGATGGCAAGCTCAGGCCCAGCCTGGGCATTTTAGCAGTCTGTCTCTCCAAATAAAACCTGTGTGAAGGCCCTGGTTTGATCCCCAGGGCCTTAAAGGTGGGGTGGGGGAAGGAAAAACAAGGGAGGGACAGGAGGCAGGAAAGGAGAGAGTATGCTTGAGAACAAGGGTGGAAGTCATAGGACAGGGGTACTCTGGTAGTGCTGGGTCCTCAGCTGCTACCGGACTTATGTACTGAATCCCTTTAAAAAGAGCGGTAGAAGCCAGTGCTGCTCTGCTTTTCAGACCCCAGAACCCATCGGGTGGTAGAGGCCAATAGAAGGCGTACACAGAATGTGTCCGGGTGGGGCTCGGGCATGGTGTGTGAAGGATTCTGGCTCTCCAAGTCAGCAGTATCCTCTCCCACTTTTTTCTTTCCACCCAAAGAAAGCCATTCACCCTGGTGCCGGCTACGAGGGCCTGTCCGAGTACAAATCAGTTGTCTACTACCAAGTCAAGCAGCCCTGTTGGTATGAGACCATCAAGGTAAGAATTCACCTTTTGTCACTTCCAGCATCTGTTGAGCCTCACTTCTGTACCTGTCTGCGCTTTAGTTCCCCGTCATTCCAGCCTTACCTGAGTTGTAGGTGAGCTGAGTTGTGATTTCACCTTAGAGTGTCCCTCCTTACTCAACACAGCCCTTGTCACTGACGTTCTTATTCAGGGTTACATAGAAATCTAAACAGAGACACTAGGGGCTTGGTGATGAGGTAGTGGCCTACCACGATGGTCCAAAACCAAATGGAAATTGCAAGCAGTTGCCTAATACACGTTTTCCTTGGCTCCTACGCATTCATCTGGGCTTCTTTACAGTTTAAAAATCGGTTTTTTATAATGGGCTGGGGAGATAGCTCAGCGGTCTAAGTGCCTGCCTGACAAGCACAAGGACCCAGGTTCGATCCCTGTATTGTATGCTATGCCATCCCTGGAACCCCGGGCAGGGTGGCACGTACCTGTAATCTCAGCACTGGGGAGGCTGAGACAGGAGGATCACAAGTCCCAACTGCATAGTGAGACCCTGTACCAAGTAAATAAATAAATAAATAGATTTCAAAACAAAAGACAGTTTTACAAATTCCGCAGTGCTTCCCAGATCAGACACCTCCTTTGGGCCTGCAGTGGTCCTGCGTGCCCCTAAACAGGCCGGGGCTGTAAACCCCCTTTCTTAGCTGGTCACTGAGTATCTAAGGAGAGACACCCGAGATGCTAGGGCTCCTCTCTGTCAGGTCCTGAGCAGGAGGCACGTCTTCGGAACCCAGGCTGCGTGCCTCTTTCCGATTGCCAGAGTCATAGGAGCGCTACACAGAATGCTAAAGCTAAACTAAAGACCTGTCTCCAAACACAGAATTCATGCCCCACTTCTCAGTCAGCTGTTTCTGCGGTCCTGTAGCTCAGGTTTCGAAGGATGCTGTTCCTGTGAACTCATTGTTTTTAAAGCCACTTATCTCAGGCACTGTTCATTCCTCAGAAATTTGTTTTGATGCTTGCATAATGTTCCATTATGTAATTGTGCATACTTTATTGAGTTATTTTCCACACATTTACTGCTCCTTCTGTCTGTGCCCTATCCCCTTGCCCCCATCCCCCACCCCTCTGTCCCGCGCCCCATCCCCCATCCTCCATCCCCCATCCCCCATCCCTCATCCCCATCCTCCATCCCCCATCCCCCACCCCCTCATCCCCTCTCTGTATCTAAACAGCTGCCTCCTTTATCTTTTCCTTCTGATCTAGACGCTGATTATTACTGTATCATAAACATCTTGCAGTGAAACATCCTATGTAGATCTCAAATTACTGGTCTTTTCCCAGTGAAGTATTCACTGTTTTATAATAGAGAAAATACTGGACATTTTTATACTATCTCTATACTGTGTGATAAACACCAAGCTAATCTCAGCTTCTTTTATCTTAAAGATGATTCCACTTCCTGTTCATGAAAGCTTATAGTAGCCTCACTCTGCATGTGTGCCATAGTAAGGTACTAACACTGAGCCTAATTACTGTTGTATATCTCAAAATATCTGGGAGCAGGAATGTAGTCACCGGAAGGAAAAGACCAGAAAAGTCACACATGTATCAGCTCTCTGTGATGAATATAATCATTATGTTTGTCTTGGAGACATACTAATAAAAATTTCTAAAAGAAAGAAGCTTCAAATGTAGATCTAGTTACCCTGATGTCATGATGAAGCACTATGTACATGAATTAAAGCATCCCGTTTGTCCCTCACGAGTACATGCCATGTTGTGTCAGGATGAGTGAATTCGTTCAAAGTGGACCTCGTTCTGTAGCATGTGCCTTGGTGTAGGGCGCTGTGTGCCTCTAAGCTGTTAACTCCTCTGTCACGCAGGTGTTCATTGCAATAGAGGACGTCACTCGTTGCCACATACGATTTACCTTCCGACACAGGTCATCTCAGGAATGTAAGTATCAGGAAGACTGAGACGTTCCATGATCAAAAACCTTTTCTTGTGCTTGGTGGTGCTTTTGTGCTGTAGTTTGATGCTCGGAAACTAGAATCTTGGCGGCTTTGTTTTAGAATTTATTAATGTGAAGGAAATCCAAAGAGTCGATTCTGCTGGGTGTGTGTGTCATGCCCATGTGGCAAGTGTGTCCCCTGCATTCTGTACGATGAGGGTAGATGCTGCCTGGCAACAGAAGGGGTGGCATGGTGGAGGAGATGAAGGAAACCGTGTTTCCTCTGTGACGGTCACAGCGTGTGTCGCCACGCAGCTGAGATGTCCTGCAGCGAGAAGGCCACTTGACATTGTTTCTTGCACTTGTCATTTGTCTCATGACAGAACTGTTTCTGGTGTTGAGTCCCAGGCCGTGCACCACCCTCTCAGACATGGGCCATGGAGAGCAGCAGGCTACTCTGAGCCAACGCCGGCACTTCTGCAGGTGCCTTGCCGACGTTTGGTATAGAAACTTAACTCTTTGTCCAAAATAAGTGGTCCTCACAGGCCCACACGCCAGGCTGGGGCTGGGGCTAGGGCTGGGCTCGGTGTCTGACAGCCGGGAGGACACTGCCCTGCAGAGCCCCTGGAGTCTGCTTAGGAAGGTGAACCCGGAAATGGGTGATTGTGTCCAGGAATGAGTGGCTTGTGTCCCACACGGGCAGAGCTGTGCAGAGTTGCATGACACGGTTCCTCACCCAGCCTGTGTATTTCCATGTATTTATGCTTCCTGCATCTTAGCTGAGACTCCAGGGTGAGCGGAACTCAGCCCAAATGAGCTCAGCATGGTAAAGTGAAAATAGCTTGGCAACGACGTCCCCTTGATGGCTCGTCCCTGTAACCCCAGCGCTGTGGGAGGCTGAGGCAGGAGGGTCCCAAGTGCCAACCCAGCCTGGCAACTTAGTGCCTTAGACCTTGTCTCAAAATAAAGTAAAAGAGCTTGGGATGTAGTTCAGTGTGGAGGCCCTGGTTCGATCCCAAGTATCACAGATAATGATAGTAGTAATAGTATCTGGTTGGATTTCATGAAATCGCCTTTTTTATAGGATAAAATAGTCAGTATTGATCATTTCATGTGTGTGTGTGCATGTGTCATTCGTATCTCTGGAGTGATTACATGCAGACACTAAAACCTGGATGTTCACGTCCAGATAAAACAGTGTCCCGCTCCTCCGTACAACCTGTGTGTCCTGCAGATTCTTCAGGCCACCTCCGCATGGCTCGTGAGCCCTGATCTGGTGCGTGCTGTGCACGGGGGCGTTGCGCTGCACCGCTTGGGGAGTGATGACAAGGACAAGCTGCTGTGCACGGTCAGTGCAGACGTGGCCATCGCAGCCTGGCCACGTGGTCCACACCAGCCACATGAGATTGTTCTGATCCCAAAGTGGTTGAATCCAGATATGGAGGCCTGAACAGCTGTACAAAGCTAAGGATGAATAAGGTCTTAGTTTGTACCCGATGTTACTTAATACCCCTTTATAGGCTGCTAGTCTTGGTATCCATAGTAATCTAATAAGATATATTTAAACTTCAACCCAAATTTGCTTATAAAAAAACCCCAAGGCACTGAAAGACCCACAGGGCTAAGCAGTGATGAGGTTGGGCTGACTATGCTTCTGACGCTAGATGATTTGAGACGGGCAGGACCCAGGTCATGAAGCTGAGGTCCCTTTTTACCATGTTAGAAAGGAGCTGTTAGAGGTGGTTTTTGGTTTGGGTTTTAGGGTAGGGTAGGTGGGACAGGATATGTTCATAACAGCTTTACCCATAATTCCCCAGCACGGGAATAGCCAGATGACCATAAGCAAGAGACTAGGTAAGCAGTAGTAGTAGTCAAGCAACTAGTGGTAACTACTGAGTTATTTAAGTAGTAACTACTGGGGCACTGTGCGGTTGTCAGAGTCCCTGCACAGTCCAGAGCCAGGTCTGCTGCAGGTCACCCGGTGTAGGAGTCTGGTGAGAACAGTGAGCCTAGAGGTGACTCTGGCCCTTCCTCCCTGCCTGGAAGACCCTCCTCAGGTACCACAGGCCACAGCTGTGTGTTGGGGAGGAGTGAGGTGGCAGAGACGAACCCTGAAGCCTAGTGCGTATCCCAGCATCTGTCAGAGCAGCAAAAGTGACCTCATTTAAGGGCTTGAAGTAGGGCAGTTCGGTTGGGTGCTTTTGGCTTGGGGGGCTTTCCCTGGCTGCAGTGTGGAGAAAGTGCTGGATGGGAGAGGACGGGAGACAGCTCCCACTTAGCGGGGACTTGTAGAAGTAAGTAGCCGAGCCAGGGGTGGCGGTGCACACCTGGAATCCTAGCACTGTGGGAAGCTGAGATGGGACATCACAAGTCTGAGCCTCACCTGGGTAACTTAGTGAGATCCTGTCTTAAAATAAAAATAGACAGGGAGCTGGGGTGTAGCTCAGTGTGAAGGCCTTGGGCTCAATCCCTAGTGCCACCAGGCGGGGCAAGAGGAGCAGGAAAGGGAAGTGTGAGGGTGGTCTGGCCTTGGGTAGGAACAGAAGAGATGGCAAGAGAGAAAACAAGCTTTACAGGAGCCCAGGACATGGCGTGGGTATGGGAGAGCCAGCGGTAACCCCACCGTTTCTGTTCTGGGGGATTCTGTGGAGACTGGGCTCAGTTATTAGGGCACATAGGAAGAGGCACATGCCTGGAGGTAGTGTTCCATCTCATTGTGGGGATCTGTGACACATACAGGCTCACTGTGTCTTTCTGACAGTTTGATTGAGCATCACACTTTGGAGCAAATGTGACATGAACTGCCCCAGCCATCACCGTCTGGTGTCTTCCACACCACTCAAACACACATTTCTGTCTTTTCAGCCAGAGATAAATCAGAGCGACCTTTTGGGGTGGCCTTTGTGAAACTGATGAACCCTGACGGAACCACGCTACGGGACGGGAGGCACGACCTGGTGGTGTATAAGGTGCGGCTCACTGCAGAACAACCAAGAACATACTCCCTCCCTTTGAAACTGGCTTCTGAGCCCCCTTCAGGTGTACATGAACAGACCTCAGGATCCTCTCGAGAGCTGCGTGCATTTATCCCTTAAGGTCTAGACACCTAGCAGGTTCTGATCGTATCCGCTGTGCAGTTTCCCACCCCTCTGCAAGACGAGCCGTGATGTTACTAGGCCTTAGAAGAGTGTCTGCCCGCACGCTGAGGGTCACCTTGGCTCTGAGGGGAGAGAGGACAGCTTCCTCTGCTCCATGTCATCCCGGGTGCTAGGCAGCTCCCAGCTGGGCCTGGCTAGACTGCGATGGGCATTGCAGGATGTGGTTTGCGCATCACTGTGGACCACACGCTGTATGTGTTTGTGGGACCTTACTCCCTTCCTAGTGTGTGTATTCCCGTGTTTTCCTCCTGACGGTTGCCAAGTTGTTGCATCGACTAAGATTGTAAAGTATAAAGCCGATGCCTGGGAATCTCATACACCAGGAGTATCTGGGTAAGGAGGCGACTGCCCAAGCAGTGGTTCTTTTGAGATGCCTCTACTTGAAGAATGTTTTCTGTAGCATCTCCATCGTTTGTAATACTTCTGGGAGGCATGGTGAGCTACTTCTGCCTGCCTCACCCTAAGGAATTGTAGCATTGGCCATTTGTAGGTTCAAAAGAAAGACAAAAAAAAAAAGAGAGAGAGAGAGAGAAAGAATGACACCCAGCTGTGTTTTATAATATGGTTCCTTCTGGCAGACAGTAGGATAGTCTGGCTTCTGGTTTACAACTTCATTTTCATTCCATGAAAAAATACTTCTGGGCTCAAATTTAACCTAAAGACATCACACTGCCTGAGTTGGAGGGGTTGAACACATAACTGGGAAGGCCACATGTCTAGTGCTGGCCCTGCACCGGCCCTAGAGAAACCCCCTCACGCCGCGCCTTGTTTGGCATCTCTGACATGCTTCCTCCTCAGGGTGACAACAAGAAAATGGAAGATGCTAAATTCTACCTGACGCTGCCAGGGACCAAGATGGAGATGGAAGAAAAGGAGCTCCAGGCATCCAAGAGCCAGGCCACCTTTACCCCCAGCAAGGACAGCACGAAGGACAGTTTCCAGATCGCCACCCTCATTTGTTCCACGAAGCTCACCCAGAATGGTAGGCATGGTAGGGGTGGCAGTGACACAGAGGCTGTCTCTGCCTTGGCCTCGGGGCTCCCTGGTCGGGCTCACGAGTCGGGCCAGGGCTTCAGAGGTGGATACCTCGCAGCTGCATTCGGCTGCGCGCCCCTCAGTGGTGGTACTCGCTGCTTGCATGTTTCTCTGTCCATGTTTCCTTCCTTTAGCAAGAATCCCAGTGGCAGGGGCTGGGGATATGTAGCTCAGTGGCGTAAGCGCCTGCCTGGCAAGTGCAAAGTCCTGAGTTTGATCCCCAGTACTGCCGAAGTAAAAGGGGGTCAGAATCCCAGTGATATGCTCTGTGAGCAGAGGCAGTGGGGACTGGTAGTAAGAGGGGCCGTGAGTAAGGCCAGAGTCAGCCTCCTGCCCAGCGGAGGTGCCAGAGAGCAGGGATTCCTGTTAATCCCTCCCTCCATCCCTCCTTACCTACCGCAATTCCTCCCTTCTTCCGTTTTTCTCTGTTGTTACTGTTCATGTTTTTGAGACGGGCTGTCTGTGTGCAGCCCAGGCTACCCTTGGACTTGGAGGCGCTGCCTTGCCTCCTGAGTGCAGGACCACCAATGTGCACCTGTCCTACTGCCCTGTCCTGCACTTTCTCTTCCCCCTGTGTGTTCTTCCCTTTTTTAATCCAAGAATTTGAGACTTTTGTAAAACCACTGAATAGCTGAAATGGGGCTTCCTGTGTATTTCTCGTTGAATCTGGTACCCTTGTAGCATCCTCTGTGTACTGCATGATGCTTGGTAGCCATCGGCAGCTTCGTAGTCCTTAGCTGCATCGTACAGGGAGTCCTGCTGAGAATCAGGTGTGGCGGTGCAGCCCCTTCTGCAGCACTCGGGAAGCTGCGGTGGGAGGATTGCGCATCAGAGGTGCGCCCAGGCTATAGCGTGAGGCCCTGCCTTTATAGAAAGCAAAGAACGGGGGAAAAGGCTGTGGATGTAGCAAGCCAGAACTGCACAGCCTTAGAAATGGTGCATTCCCTGTGAAGTGTAGGCGGAAGTCCCATTGGTCTTGTGGGTGACCCGGGCAAGGTACCTGGCAGGAGTTCAGCCCTTCGGAAGGTACAGATGAACCAAGCCATTCCAGTGATGCTGAACCTGTTAGAGCTTTCCATCGTAACAGCTGCTGTGGCACCTGGGCCAGAGGTTCCCCACCTGATAGACCACAGGTGCACTGAAGGGTCAGGTCTGGGCTGACCTCCATAAAGGGTTGGTCGTGGCATGGCCAGCTGCAGAATAAGGGTGGGGTTCCTCCTTGGACTTAACAGTGAATGAGTGGCACATCTGTAGGGAAAAGTAAGGACTCGCTCATCTTTGTCTCTTCACTGCTCTCCCATGAGTTAGAATAAGCTTGAGTCACCTGTAGAAAAATGGATGTAATTTGAGACCATAATGTTAAGTGAAATAAGTCAGACATACAAGCTTAAGTATCACATGGTTTCTTTTATACATGAAACTCAAGATATAAATAAAGAGCTAAATAAAAAATAGATAATTGGAAGTAGGGAGATAGATCTTTCTCAAATAGGAGGGACCTGAGAGGTGGAGGGGTGGGAAGGAGAAGAGCAGAAGGGATAAAAATGACCTGAGCATATTCTGCACATGATATTCTACACATGTACCAGTGCCTCCCGAGGAAGGCAATAGTTCTGTACTGTAGACATGTACTAATAAAGATAAAAATTGAAGAAAAAAAAAAAAAAAAAAAGGACTTGCTCATCAGAAATGTAAGCCGGAAGACATGATGGGGGCTTTGTGGGAGACATGGCAACATCGAGCCAGTCCTGTAACCCTCGTTGCTAAGAGGCAGCATGAGAAACCGATAATAGATGGTCTAAGGATCCAGTATTTGTGGACGATACACGTGACTATTAGGAATTGAACAGTGGTAACGATGAGTGGTTTCGGTCCGAGGATATTTCCCTGTGTTTATATTCAGAAAATATTGGATACAACCCACATGTCCAGGAGTCCAGATCAGTCTGAATTTCATAATTTTATTAGTTTGTAATTTTATAACTAAAAGATAAAATATACATAGCTGGCAAATGCCAAATTTTGAAACATAGTCAAGGACCTGGCAATCTTCTAAACTGCATCCCTGTTTTGTTTAAATCTGCGGGGATGGGTTGGAGCCAGACTCCTGGAAAGGAAGCTTTCCCGGGGAGAGAGGCATGCAGTGTTCGGTGAATGCCTAGCAAGTGATGCTCCCAGACTGGAGTTCAAAGAAGAACAAAGAGAACAAGGAATAAGAGTTTGGTGAATTAACTTGTAGTGAAAAGCAAGAGGAATTCTGGTGAGCGCGAGAGGACAGGTCGTCTGTGCAGGCGACAGTTGTGACTCTCCCTGGGTCTGCCTCCTTCTGACTTGATGGAAATCAGAGAGCACTGAAGTCATTTATTTGAAGATCACAAATAGCCGTCCCCTGTACATCGGCATTGGTGGCATGGAGGGGCCAGCATTCCCGGACACTGAGGCTGAGGCCCTCTCTGTGGCTGAGGGCCACTGTGCACACTCATGGGAGACCACAGGAAAACCACGGGAACTGACTACACACAGATCTTGTTGCTCTTGCATTTACTGACTCATTTAATTTGCTTTTAAAATCCCGGAACAGACCCATTTATATAGAGCTCTTTGGCACATGGCCTGGACACGGGTGAGAGTGGTTTGTGGCCAGGAAGGGAGAGGAGATCTCAGGCCCTGTAGGAAGAGGTCTGGTGTCCGGCGACTCCCAGGCACTGAGTCATCCTACCCTCCCCATGCTGGGATGAGAAGGCCCTGAGATGGCCATTATTTCCAAATTGGTGACCACAAATTTTTTTAATTTCTTTTTTCTTTTTTCTTTTTTTTTTAATAGTACTGAGCATTGGCCCCAAGGAATTTTCTTTGATTTATACCCACAGCCCTTTTTAGTTGAGTTTAGTTTAGTTTTTTAAATTTGAGATAGAGCCTTGCCAAGAAGCCCAGTGTGGGCAGGGACTTCCCTCAGCCTTGGCCTCCCAGAGTGCTGGGATTGCGGGTATGAGCCACCACACTGAGTAAGAATCAAATTTTGTGCTCAGGAGACTGGTGCAGGGAATTGCAAGCTGCCATAGGATGTACAGTGAGATCCTGTTTCAACAACAGAAAAGATCAAATACATTTTAGAATGTAGTGGTCCTGGTGATTGAACCCTCAGGCATGCTAGACAAACGCTTTACCACTGAGCTACATTCCCAGCCTTTCTGTTTCTTTTGAGACAAAGTCTCACTAAGTTGCCAGGCTGGTCTCAAATTTAGGATTCTCCTGCCTCAGCCTCCTAAATAGCTAGGATTACAGCCATGTGCCAGTATGCCTGGAAGAAATTAAGCTGAGGCAGGAGGATCACAAGTTTGAGCGCAGCCTGAGCAACTTAGCAAGATGCTGTCTCCTAGTAAACAGTTAAGAAAGGGCCAGTGGCGTGGAGCTCAGTGTGAAGGCCCGGGGTTTCCATCCCAGTGCTGGGAGACAGAGGAGGAAGGAGAAGGGAGGGAGGGAGGGGAGAGGGAAAATGAAAACAAAGGGGGGAAGATTTAATTTTCAAGTGGACAGTATTCTGCCTGAGCTTCTATTTATATCTCCAAAGTTTATATGTTTTCCTTGCATTTCTTTTCCTTTTTAAATTCTGTGGCCCTTAATCCTCTCCCACGAGTATTACTGCCCTGAGCCTGGCCACTGTCATTCCCTGGCTGCCCTTCATAGTTCCATCACACAGTCAGACGCCCAAAAAATGTTCAGCTTTGCTTCTTTTTCGCCACTTCCTGTCACCGTACGTGTGCTTGTGAATTTGCTTGTCTGTGTATTTCTTTGAAGAAGCCGGAGAGAGGGAGCTCATGGGGCGTCAGGGGCGTGGCTTGTGGAATCCTATCAACTTGTCATTCAGTTCTATTTCTAGTAGCCTCTAGCAGTTACATGACCTGTGACAAATAACTTGACATCACTGAGCCTTGGTTTCCTCATCCCAAAAAATGGAAAATAAAATTTCTACAGGGCTGTCATGGTGGTGAAGTGAATTAACCTACTAGGTATAAGTTCCTCTTTGCTCTGAAACCACCTGGATGTAGACAGCGAGCGAGGCAGCAGGTGAAAGGCAGACAAGTTCCTTACGGAGTCCCTGAGTAGTGTCCTTTTCCCTGGGACTAGGGATTGAACCCAGCACCTTTGCACTGAGCTGCTCCCTCAGTACACCGTCCTCTCCCTGCTCACACAGGGTCTCGCTGAGTTGCCTAGGCTGGCCTTGTTCATACTTGCGCTCCTCCTGCCTCAGCCTCCCATGCACCTCTGCACCTGGCTCCATACCATGCTTCCTCCCTTTACTTTTTTTGTGATTAGGATGTCGTTCTTTTAAAAATGTGCATTCTAGTCAGATATTGTGTGTTCCTGTGCATTAGCAGTTAATTTTTGTTTTCCTCTTTGAAGAATGAAAGACCACAGGGTTTTCTCTGACAGAGACGAAAAAGAGCAGACAAGGCATTGCTTGAATGAGCTGTTGTTAGAAGCAGCTGTCGCTGCGTGCTGAAATGCTCTGCCAAGCTCCTGCTAGCGTCTGTGGTCTGTCCTTCTTTCCAGTGGACCTCTTGGGATTGTTAAATTGGCGTTCCAACTCCCAGAACATTAAACACAACCTGAAGAAGCTCATGGAGGTGGATGGAGGGGAGATTGTAAAGGTATGTGTACACCTTCCTATCTAGGACTGTCCCCAATACGTGATTAGCTCCACCTATCAAACCAGGCGTTGCCACTTACGCCTTGCTACCTAGACTGCCGAGCAAGTGTGCTGCTGTTTCGGAAAATGCTGTTTTTAAGCCTGGTCTGTTGAAACCTAATTGTCCCCAAATTTGTACAACTTGGCGCTGAATGACTACCCGGAAATAACCACTTGTCCTCTGTCTTCAGTTTCTGCAAGATACACTTGATGCACTTTTTAATATCATGATGGAAATGTCAGACAACTCAACGTACGACTTCCTTGTGTTCGATGCCTTGGTAAGCAGTTGAATGTGTTACCTACTCTTTATTACCTGGCGTTTTCTCTTGAAACTGTGCAGTTGTGTGTATCTCCCTGTGATAAGGAACTGCCGTGAACGTGCTTCTAGAGAAGTATTTGTATATATCATCATAATCTGTTTAGGCTAAATTCCTAGAAGCAAAGAACTTATTTTCCATGCCTTGGTTTCTTGGTTTTCTGTCAGCTCTCACTTTCCCTTTCCCGCTGGGGAAATCGAAGGGCTCGATTAAGTTAGGAGCAGGAGACCAGCTGCCTCACTTTGCTCTTGTCCAGTCAGCACCTAGGAGATGTCGGTGACTGGCAAGGCCGCGGCGCAGTGTAGTATTTGCCCTCCTGTGTTCAGGTGAAGGAGGCTGAATTCACGGGTCACAGAGGACACAGCATCAGTAGGCTGTGTGCAGCCCCGCAGACAATGGATTTGGCACACAAAATGCTAAACCCATTCCAAGGACTGAGATGAGGTAAGTGACAGAATCTGGGGAGAGCAGAGGCGCTGGTAGAGGAAGTGGACTCATCCGTAGCAGCCACCATTTCCTCCTTGTTTGGGGAAAGTTCAGGCAAATTGGACTTGAATGTGAGGGGTGAGGAGGCACGGCTGGAGTCACTCGCCAACCTGGAGAAATCCAGAGGTTCAGTAAGCGGTCAGGACATTAAAGACGTGGGGGTTGGGTCTCAGGGGAGACTGAAGGCACTGAGCACTGTAGCGCGAGGTCTGCAGTTGCAGGTCCATGCCGGGGACAGAGCAGAGCAGCTGGCCACAGGTGCAGGTGCAAGCCCCAAGTGCCCTTCCCTCTGCACGCTTCTGTCCTGTGCACGTGCCGCGTGGTTATTTATAGAGCATGAACTTCACAACATCAGAGGTAACACGGGAGGGATGAATTAGGAGAGCGAACTCGTGCAGTTCAGGTTGTTGGGGACACTTGCGCAGTACTCAGGATAACTGTCGTGGGCTGTGCTTACTCTGGCAGCACATATACCAGAAACGTGATGGGCTATGTCATTAGCTGTGTCCTTGGGTTAGACACTGTTATTCCTGCAGATAACCAGACCCCATATCCTTCTCCTGCTGTGCTTTTTTGATCCCAGACTAAAGTGGCATGTGCGTGACTCTTCTCCCTTTGACACAGTAGCTCCCTGAAGCCAGTTATACCAGTGATGGCGAACCTTTTAGAGCTTTCAGTGAAGCAAACAGCTCACTGTGGCATGCGTGCCGTAGGTTCGCCACCACTTAGGCATACTGTGTAGCACAGTGCCTAATGCATGGTCATTCTTGCTTCTGTGTTAATTCAGTGTAAGCCACAAGACTTGACTTTAGATGTGAGATAGTAGTCCAGGAATGTTGCAGAAATGATCGAGATAGAAAAGAAGACAGTGAGAGGTCAACATGCAGCTGTTGACAGAGTACCTGGTATCGTACAGTGCTGCCATTGATGTTTTTCTACTTTGGCAGGTATTTATTATTTCACTGATAGGAGACATCAAGTTCCAGCATTTCAATCCTGTTCTTGAAACTTACATTTACAAGCACTTCAGTGCCACTTTGGCGTATGTGTAAGTATGCCTGAAGGGACCCCCATGAGGTTGGGTTGGTGAATTTGTGCTCCTAGGGCTGGAATTTTGAGAAATGCAAGGAAACTGAGTTCAGTAAAGGGGATTTAAGTGCAGAACTTGCTAAGTAGTCTAACCTTGGCAAAAGCTGTCTGGTTTTGGCCCTTCCTTCTAGCGGGGACAGTGCCTCTCTAACAGTCCTAGAAAGTAGTGGTTGCAGCCGGTTAGGAGCAGAATCAAGGACAGATGGCCAAGATGTGAACTCAACTTCTTAGGTAGGAGTTGGAGGTCAGTGACACCAGCATGTGGCACCAGTGGGGTCAAACAGTGAAGTAAGCAAGACCAAGTCTAACTGAAGAACAGGTCATGTTGTCAGTCCTGTTCCACTAGCGCTATCTGGAATCAGTTATTCATGGTATGTGAGATTTGATTTTTCTTCCTTTTTATTGTAGTGCAGTCTTTCTATGTTTGATTTGTGAAGCCTTGAATAAAGAAAGCAGGTGACTTTCACTATGGTTCTCCATAGAGTGCTCAGGTGGCCTGCTTGCATGCAGTCAGACCAATGCAATAAATAGTGACAGGAGTGTAACTGGGCCGGGTAGAGTCTTTTGGACTCGTGCAGATCACTTCTGGCTGGTATGTCAAGTCAGGCCATTGATCCCTGGTGTTCTTTCCTAAACTAAGCCAGCATGAAGGTACAGAAACATGGGTTATATAAAGGAAAAGGCATGTAGCATAGTCACCGGCTGACGTCACGGCCGTGATGCCCACTTGGTTGGGAAGGTGGCATGACAGCAGCAGTGGAGATCTTCCCATTCAGCAGCCTCAGTTTCCAACTTGGCTGCAGCTGCAGGTTCCATCTTGCAAGCTATGGATCCTGGCTATGCTAAGCCAGATGGGACCCCCAGCTGTTAACAGTCAGTCTTGTCCACAGAGTTTGAGTCCTTCTACATGTTTCCTTTGGGTTCTGTGCTAATTCCTGAAAGGCTCATAAATTCTCAGAAGGAAGCCTCAAACTGTCCTAGCCCTCGAAGGTCAGAGTCACCACAAGATTAAGACCATCTGCAGTTCACAAACTTGAAAGACACAAAGAACACTCTAAAGTCCCGGATGTGATTGTCTGTGTACCTGTTCAGAACCATGAGTGTCCCGGGAGTCGGACTGAGCTCTGCTCCCCTTACTCAGCAGCATTCTCATCTGACACTGTGTGGATCCCAAAGGAGGGATGGAGGGAGTTAGATGTGAAGGTGACTCTGCAGGCTGTCATCAGCTGTCCTTCCCAGGAGCATCTGAAGATGTCTGTCTTACATGCCAGAGATTAAAATATCATTATGCTTTGAAACCTTTCAACTCTTTCATTGCTTGGTCCTTATTTTTAAGTAGAAAACTTCCCACTTCTGTAAGCAGAAGGCAAGTTGCAAACCTACATTGCAGATGAGAAAACTACATGGCAGAAGAGTTAGTTGGCCTGTTCAGGGCCTGGTCTAAAGGGTGTAATGAGCGCTCTGACTCCCACTTCCTGGTCTGCCCCCCTGCTTCCTGTGGCCTGTGCAGGCACCCTCCCCCCAGGAACCATATTACCCATTGGCTTCTTTTATTTATTTATTTTTTTAAGGAAACTCTCCAAGGTACTGAACTTTTATGTGGCTAATGCGGATGACTCCACTAAGACAGAGCTGCTTTTTGCTGCTTTGAAAGCCTTGAAGTACTTGTTCCGGTTCATCATCCAGTCTCGAGTGCTGTACCTGAGGTAACAGTCCCCGTGGTTTGGCCCTGTCACTGTCCTCTCCGCGTAGTTTCCCTCGCTGCTCATGTTTGTGTGCGGCTCTCTCGGCAGCTGGTCAGTGCCGAGGATGGTAGTAGACGTGGGCCCCGTGGAGAAGGTCCATGTGGTGGGATCCGTGGGCATGAACAGAGTGCTGAGGAGTCGGGCAGCAGGACTGAGGGGTGCATGGGGGGTGAATGTGCCCCGTGCTGGAAGCTGGTTTTGGTGAGGACAGCTCGAGAGAGGCAGCTTCCTGTGGCTAGCAAAGAGTTTAGATGTGATTCCCCATGTGGTGGGAGGCATTGAGGGGCTTCCATTGAAACGCGGCACAATCTGGTTTATGTTTCAAGCTATGGTCTCCGCTCTCGTGTGGAAAAGGGATTATGGAGGGCTCAGAGGGGAGGCATCTTCTGGGCCCTTGCCATTCAGATGTGGGCAAGGCTGCTCTGCCTGAGGTGCAGGTGGGAGAATGACCTATGGGGAGAGGAGCCAGTGGCTAGGCTGGTGGACTGGCTGGGGGCAGGCGGCAAGGGAGAGGCAAGGGCCACAGCCAACCTCGAGTGGGGCAGGTGGTGGTGCTGTTTGCCGAAACGTGGAATACTAAGTGCCTCGCAGGACTTCAGATGGCTTCTCTTGCAGCTAAATTACGAGATTCTCTAAGAACTAACTTCCAAATGAAGTTCTTTTCTAGTTCTGGCGAGTAAGTGAACTGAGTAGTACCAGTCACGTTCTGGTGGGATAGTTTTCTTAGGGGAGTTCACGTTCTGTGGTTACCATAAAAGGTGCAGGTAGACCGTTTCTCACCCAGAATGCATGGGACTGGCACCACGTTTGGGTTTTAGATGATCATATGTTGGGGATGAGGTCCAAGTCTAAACACGTAATTAATGTAGGTTCATGTACTTCTTATGCATGTGACCTGAAGGTATTCTGTACCGTATGCTTAGTGTGTCTACTTTTTCACTGAAGCTATCGCAGGAAGTCAGGTAGGAATTCTCTTGTGGTATCATGTTGGTGCTCAAAATTTTTTGCATTTTAGAGCATTTTGGATTTTGGATCTTACATTGGGGATGTTTATGGTGTGTAGGTAAATGGAAGAGACTAATGTAAATTTACTTACGCGTGGATGTGTCTGTTTGTGTTTGAGTATAAAGCCCTGGCTTCGCCACCCTGCTGTTGACCATTACATGTAGAAGTGGCAGCCTAGTGGCACACACACTACTCATGGGCACTTTCCTGTTTGTGCAAATTGGCCAAAGGCTTTTTGCTTTCTGTGTGATGAAAAACAATTTATGTTTGAGTAGATGGGCACATACTATGAGGAGAAGTAGGAGCTTTAAGCGAGTCCGTGTCGGTGCAGAAGGCTCTGTGGTAGAAGAGATGAACATTGGAAGTGACCAGAATGAACGTTGGCTGCTTTTGTCGGCCAAGGGGGATTAGAGCCCTTCTGGATTAAGACGCTTCTGTACACATTGTTGGAAGCCTCAGCCTGTAGGATCAGGGCTACATTAGGGAGGCAGGGTCTTGTGGAGACACTGAATCGCCTGGGCTGGCCCTACATTCGCGATCCTCTTGCTCAAGTCTCCTAGGACTACAGGTGTGGGGCTGTGGAGGTGGAAGGAAGGAGGATCTGAGGAAGGAAGGAGATGGGTGTGGTGTGTCAGGATGTTTCCCGGGGTGGGGGGTGTCCCTTAGGCATTGGACCTTCTGCTAATGAGCTGAGAAGCTGGGCATCCAGAGTTCACCCATTGCATCAGGCACTGTGGCTTTCTGATGCTCTCTCTCCTGTTGGAAATGCCCATAAACCACTGGGCAAGAATGCATACCTCTGCTCAGGGCCTCCCAAACCTCTTCTGAGAAGTCCTTGCTACTGGGCTGGTCCTCATTGACCACCAGGAGAGTCCCATATCAGGACCTTGCTTGTGGACCGCACTCGGCTCTGCACTATTAAGTGATGTGCTTTAACTGTTGAGGTGGATCCTGGTACCCTCAAAACCACCTTAGGATGCCCTGTGAGACGCCTCTACACAGTAGGAGGTGGCGCCTGGGAGGTACTGACCTCCAGTATTGTTGTTTTTTGTATTTTGTGGTTTTTTTAGGCCACAAATCTATTTTAAGATTTCTTTTAAAGATGGAAAACTTGGTTAATGCTTTTTTTTGGACCAATTTTGAATGCTCATGTCTGGTAATCTGAAGAACTACTTTAAAGATAGTAGTTTGAAAATAACCACTGTTGTTTTCCTATCATTTTGTTTTGAAATTCTTATATTTAATTTGTAAAAAATTGTATTCTCTTTAAAATAGCAAGCAAGCTAGAAAGCTAGCTCTGACTGCTTTTCTCTTTTTGCTTTTAAGATTTTATGGCCAGAGTGAAGATGGAGATGAATTCAATAACTCCATCCGCCAGTTGTTTCTCTCCTTCAACATGTTGATGGACAGGCCCCTGGAGGAAGCTGTCAAGATCAAGGTCAGTGTGGTGTCCCTGTGGGTAAGGCTCTTACAGCTGTGGGTAAAGATGTTCAGAAGAACTTAGCACTGGTCAAGGTCAGAGAGGGATCATGCTTCGTGGGAAGCGTGTGCCTCTTAGTGGGACTTAGCAGCGGGAGAAGAAACAGACTCATATGCTAACTCTTAGGTGCATTGGTTTGTGTAGCGACAGTTTGCAGAAGATGAGCTACCTGTGGAGATATCATAACCGGTACTGGACCCCTGCTTCCACCAAACCGTTCCCCACACTGGCATGAGGGATCATTTTAGTTTCAGTTTGTCTCATTTTCCCCGAAAGTGCGAAGTTACCGTTGTCTTCAGCAGCAACAATGTTGTTAAAACATGAAATACGTAATCCCCAAAGCCTCCTGTTGCAACTTCATCGTCAATCCCTTGTTCTTTACATAACTGTATGAGGAATGCTTCATGAATTTACCTCCTTAGAAAAATAATTCCAAATGAATATGAAATACAGCATTATCAAAATGGATTAATGCCTACTTCCTGGGAGGATAAGGGGCTTTGTCTCCTCCACTTTCTGGAGAAAGGTTTGTGGAGGCTGTGTTTAGCCACAGGAGCTTTCCTTTTGACCATGAGGGCGGCCGAGTCCAGTTCTGTATTCTAGGATCTGAGTGCAGCCCTGTCGTCCTGGGCTCAAGCAGTAAATTCTGTATTTGTCTTGCTCGGCAAGTGAGTTTGCCTTTGGTGTTTTTCCTCCAGGGGGCAGCTTTGAAGTACCTCCCCAGCATAATTAACGATGTCAAACTCGTGTTCGATCCCGTTGAGCTCAGGTAAGTGGCACGAAGCCCTTCGTTTCCCACTCTAACCATGGTGATGCCCTGCCCTCCCGGGGCCTGGGCCCTGCACAGGCTGCTGTCACACTAGCAACTATTAGCCAAGCTCTTTTTGTGCTGAGTTCTGTGGAAGATGCAAAAGAACCCACAGAGCCCATCCTTGAGAGCCATTTGCACTTTCTCTGGGGAAATAGGACATGCAGGAGTAAAACTAGCTCTAAAGGAAAGTACATAATAACAGGCTTCCACCTCTACACCCAAGTACCTGGGAAAACAAAGTCAGGCTGCAGTGGGCCTTGGGGTGGAGCGGGCCCAAAAAGGCCTCTGGCGGGAGTGGAGCGCTGTGCAGGCCTGGGAGGCCGTGGTGGATGTGGGTGTGTTTTCCATCTGGGGAGCAGGCATGCGGCCCGAGGGACCTTCTCAGGCCTGGGGCCATTTCAGAGTTTTCCAGGTGAACCTCTCCATGCCCAGATCTCACAGTGGAGGAGAAATGTTTGTAAGGAGCCTTTGGCTTGGCAGGATGAGAATGCTGACCCTGGGCTTTCTCTCCCAGCGTGCTCTTCTGCAAGTTCATCCAGAGCATCCCAGACAATCAGTTAGTGCGGCAGAAGCTTAGCTGCATGACCAAGATAGTAGAGAGCAGCCTTTTCCAGCAGTCGGGTGAGTTTCCGCTGGAAACGGCCATTTCCCAGCATGACTCTCTTATTTCTGCAGCCCTCAGCCCTCACTGAAATGTCAGAGATATCCTTGCCACTTTGTCAGTACTTGGGGACCTCTGAGACACTAGCTTAAAAAAAAAACAACAAACTTTGTTTGTTTGGTACAGGGTCTCACTACACGGCTCGGACTCGTAGTGATCCTCCTGTCTCAGCCTCCCCAGTGCTGGGATTACAGGCGTGTGCCACCCCACCTGGTTTTGGTAGCCAGCACGCTAGTACATGGGCATGGTACCACGGAGCGAACCCAGGTCCTTGCGCTTGCCAGGCAGGCACTTAGACCGCCGAGCTACCTCTCCAGGCCATGAGACGCTAGTTTTAAGAAGCTGGAACCTGTTTAGTATTTCTTGCAGCTACACGAAGGACACAGTTGTGTGTTGAAACTTGGATTAGAAAAGTCATCAGCATTAAATAGAGAATTTTGTTCTCAGAAAAGGAACTCAAAAAAGTGGCAAGCGAGTAAGACAGATGACTCTTCCAATCAGAGTCACTTTCTTTCACCTGTACTTAGTGCGTGAACTCTCCAACGAGGAAGCAGGGCAGGCCGAGATGTGGCACTGCGTCTGAACTTCTCGTGTACCCGGGCAGCAGATTACGGCCCCTATTCACAAATCTGTGTTCAGTGACATTACATGGATGTATTTACACAGATACTGGCCTGCCTCCTCTATTGGAGCTTTTTGAGAGTGAAGGAAGCCAGATTATTTATATTCCACTGGGAGGAGACACAAAGGAGTAAAATCTCCTCGCACTATTACTGTAGTAAGGTTTCTTTTTGTAGCTAGAGTGGAGCAGTTAGCCACCAAATCTGAGTTGGAGTGCTCCTGAGCTGCTACACGGTGGAGGTCCCATACTGGGAACTTCCTTGTAGCACTGGGGACTTCTTTTGAAGCTCCTGTAGGCAGGTCCAGAGTCCCAGAGGGGACCTCACACTCAGTGTGTGTACCAGGCCTCCAAAGCTGCCCTTGAGGGTAGGAGAGCCCTCCCAGCCGTGCCCTTGGTGAGCTGAACAAAGTGCCACCTTCAGGTTTCTCCACGAGGGAGGACCTGCCTGAGGTAGGTGGTGTCCGTGGTCCTTGCTTGGTTCTGTGTATTCTGCCCCTATTACTTCGTGCTTCAAATTTCAAATGTTCCTACAACACCGTTGGAGGTGGTGCTGACCAAACTAGTAGATACTGTTGAGGAGAAAAATAGTTCTTAAATATCCTCATCTGCATGATAAACTTCACTTCTGTGGATGCAGAGAAGAAAATGGAGACAGGAAAGGTGGGGTGCTTGAGTGCAGGAGCACACACACACTAAATAATTTCTTGGGCTGGCCAGATAGCTCAGCGGACTAAAGCGCCTGCTTATGCAGAGTGTAGCAGCCAGGGTTTGATCCCTGGTGTGCTATGCCAGCCCTGCTGAGGGGCGTGCTGAGATAGCAATTGAGACTAGGTGTGGTTGCACATGCCTGTAATCCCAGCTTTTAAAGGGCTGAAAACAGGAGAATATGAGTCAGATCTACGTAGTGAGACCCTGTAAACCCTGTACTAAGTACAAAAAAAAAAAAATTATTATTTGTTTGTTATACATTCCTAGGGATTAATCCCAGGGCCTTTACTAACTATACTCCCACCTCCCCCCTCACCCCCATGTTTATTTAAGACAAAATCTTGCTAAGTTGCCCAGGCTGAGCTTGAACTGGTGCTTCTCCTGCCTCAGCCTCCTGGAAGGTGAGAGTGAGGGTGGCAGGAACATGTCACCATGCCTGGCTGTACCAATTCTAATTAGAGGAAAGAGGATCACTTAACAGGCCTTTCTGGGGGCCAGGGAGATGGCTCAGTAGACTAAGCGCTTGCCGGGCAAGTGCAAGGGCCTGAGTTCAATCCCCAGTTCTGCCAAACAAAACACAACAAGAAAAAAACAGGCCTTTCTGTGCTGTCTGGGTAACAACACGTGATCTTCATGAAGAGCGTAGGAGGGTGTGATGTGTTACCCTCTGCTCCAGAGCCATGGATTAGGGAGGCCCTGTGACCACAGGAGTCAGTACCTTCTCCCCATCTAGTAGGAAAGAGCATTAGAAGGTGTGGCACATGTGCTATTGTTGGTGTCATAGGACTTCGCATTCACGTATATTGTATTGAAAAGCAAGAGGAGCCGGCGTATAGCTCACTGGTAGCATATGAGTGAGAAGCCCTGGGTTTAATCCCAAGAAGCAAAAATAATAATAAAAAAAAATCTGGAGAAATTGTTAAATAGTTTGCACGTTGTTAGGGCTACATGTAAAGTACTTGCATAGCACACAAGAGGCCCGGGGTTTGATCCCCAGCAATGCCCAAAATGGTTTAAAAATTGACATTGTGCTAAATGCTGACATTCATATGCAGGCAGCATGTTTCTGAGTCTGTGTAAACCAAGGGTGAAGTTACAGTTCCAAGCCTAAAACCGTGTGCTCTTCAGTGGCCTGCAGAGGCCTCGCCTGGCAAGGCTGGGTCCCGGGAGCTCTGGGCAGCTGGGAGAGGCTCAGAAGGAGTGGGCCTTCCCACGCGCTGCTGCATTTCCTCCTCAGAGTGCAGAGAGGTGCTGCTGCCACTGCTCACAGACCAGCTCAGCGGTCAGCTGGACGACCACTCGAGCAAGCCTGACCATGAGGCCAGCTCGCAGCTTCTCAGCAGCATCCTGGAGGTGCTGGACAGGAAGGATGTGGTGAGTCGCGTCAGCCCCCGTGCAGCGCAGGGCTCCACAGGTCCCTTTGCCCAGGGGGGAGGAACTGCAGGGCCTTCCTGGTCTCGGCTGTCCAAAGCCCAAGTGCAGGGCGGGAGCTGTGCTTGTTTTAGAGGGGCCTGGAGAGTCCAGCGCCTCCTGTGCAAATGTGGGTCCCAGAGAAGCCGGCTTGCTGCTGGGGTCCCTTTGGGGGCTGTCTTGGCCACTGCCAAAATCCCCACAAGGGCTCCAAGTCCACAGGCTCCAAAGAGACCCTTGGAGATTTTGTCTTCTGCAGAGGCCTCTGCCCCCATCCTCTCAGGCCTGGTGCTGTCGTAAACTTCTGCGCTTCTGAGCAGATCTGTTTTTCTGTCCTCTCTGACACTGCTGCTCCGGATCCTGGTGGCAATGATGTTTGCTCCTCTCACATCTCCTCGGTGACCCCGGCCCCAGTGCCTCCTAAACATACAGGGCTGAGCCTGCCTGAATTTCCCGTGTTCTAGGTAGCACCGCCCATGGGCTGGGCAGGCCCGCAGGAGAGGCTTGAGGACGGAGCAGAATGACTGCCATTGAAGTTGAGGGCTCAGCAGAAAGCTTCTCACCCCAAAATGCCCCCCACCCCCTCCCTCCCGTGGTGGCTGCAGTCCAGGGGTTCCTGCAGAACAGGTGGTTAGCTCAGAGCTAAGCGATCGAGGGCCTGCACTTTGGCCCCAGACCTCATCTCCATTCCTCGTTCCTCCTTTCCCTGATGTTCTCCTGCTCTTCCTGCCAGCCCCTTCTGAGCCTCAGAAGCACGGGAGGACCCCAAGGCCTTCTCCTGCTATTGCCTGACCTGCTCCACCGCAAAACACACCGCCTGTGGCATCCTTACCTTCTGTATTCTTTATTTGGTGTTTGTTCATGAGAGCCCATCCTTCACCCTTTTGTTTGTTTGTTTAAATGTGTTTCTAGAACTGTATTTATGACCTGGAATAAATTTTCCCAAGAAGTGTTTTGGCTGGGATTTAATCCCTAAGCAAGGGCTTTCCTGTAAATAAATAAATGTGACTAGAAGAAATAAAAGGAGAAAGAAAAAAAAACGTGGGAGGGCGGGCTTTATTTGAGATGGAGACCTGAGGGGCTGTTGGCTGCGAAGTGCCAGAAGTGGCGCTCTCTCTCCGAAGGGCAGGCAAGGCGGTGGAGGGAGTGCGTGAGGTCCGGGCCCTTATTCTCAGGCTCTGGTCCTTGAGTGTGGCCGGTGGTCTGGCTCACGTTTGTGCAGGGAATCTCATCCAGGAGGCTGAGCACCCTCGATCAGAAGGTTTGGTACAGTGCTCAGATTTCACGGGCTCCCTAATTACAGGGCGCAGAAGAGTGAGGGTGAAGGGCACTGCTCACAGAAAACGTCCGCAGGCTTTTTCCTGCAGTGACCCACCATGGTATACACGTAATTATTTTTTAAAGTAGCACTTATGACTTAGTAATTATTTAAAATAGTAGAATCCAGTTCTATATATAAATGTGGCCACGTTGTATTAAGAACAGTGTCTTAGCCAGGGTTTCAGGGTTCTAGAAAACACACATCTGGGATCCAAAGCTCATCTGAAACAAAGGAATTAGGGTATTTCGTTTCTAGTCCGACTGTGAGCAGTGTGCAGGAATTTATCCTTATCTCGAGGATCTCGAGGATCTCGGCTTCCTGTTCTCTGCTGTGGGGAAGTGCTCTGGGTGATGTCGGCTCTTCCGCTGCTCAGATGCGTCTGCCATCTCCCCACATGGAAGGATTCCTGAGCAACGGCCTGTGCTCGCCAGCCTGGTGCTGCCGCCTCCTAGAGTGCTGAGGTGGGGATCACAAGGTCAGGTCCCACCTGGGGAACGTAAGGACCTTGTCTCCCATTGAAAAATAAAGACGTGTGGGGTGTGGCTCCATAGGAAGGCTCGGGTAAGTCCCTGAGGCTGGAGAAGAAGAAAGTTTAATTCATAGAAGCGAAGACTAGAGTAACAGCTGCCAGGAGTGGGTGAGGCGGCAAGCAGAAATCTTCATGAAAGTGCACAAGTCCCCATTACAACATGAGCAAGTCCTGCAGGTGTCCTGCACCGCACAGGAGTGATAGATGCGTTAAGCTCGTGGTTGCGACCCTCATGTAACAGCTATATAGAGAGTCACATAGGCGCGGTGATTATGTGTAATGTCACTGGTTAAATATTGCAAAATAAATTCAATATTAAGGAAAAATTATAGAGCCAGTGGTGAAGCAAGAATTTTTGAAGTATCTGTTGTGAAGCAAAAATGGATAAAGGCGCCAGAAACTCAAACTGAATGTGTAGGATTTGCAGTTGAATGAGTAAACTCTAACGACAGAAAAGCAGAGAAGAAAGAAGAAAGAATGCACACTTACTAAGTGCTGTTTTGCCCACTGGCCCAGTGAGTATGTGTAAGAAAATAGTAATTATCCTCTTTTTGTAACCCTGAACACTAAAGCTCCTTGAAGTTGAACAATGGCTGGAAGCCACAAAGTAAATCTCACTACTCTGAAGGCTGGAAGTGTGAGGTCGGGGCCCAGCCATGGTTGAGTCCTGAAGAA